GTGACCATGGTGTGGATACTGCGATCGTAGGCAGAGAAGGGCAACTCACCGCGCTCATGGGTGATGATGGTGAAGGTGGCGCCACGGGGTACCTCTGCGTTGACGGTGTTTGTGGCGATGGCTGCGGTGGTCATGTCCTGGGAGATCTTCACTTCGAGGTTTGACCAGGCGAGTTGAGGCTCGCTTGAGGTCAACTCAAAAGTGGTGCATATGAAACTGATCTTATGCGGAACCTATGGCAGTACAAAATTACGAAATTCAGTTGAAATGGCCTGCAACAGCTGGGTCGTGTACGATACATAGTACATTTTTAAACACAAATTAGGAAATTTACAAGCACACAGTGATGGTGTATACCGCATTCTGTTTTCACATGCACATTATTTAAAAGAATCAAGGTCGTGGTAATTGACAGCGCAGCATTGCACGTTCTGTAAAGTATGCACTAGTGGCTAGACGTGCTATCATGTAAAATATATTCATCTTAAATTCTCAAAACCTGGAAATTTGGCCCTTTTTAACTCCGGGAAAGTATTGCGTGTTCTTACATATTTAAATGCGGCATATGTCCCAATGAAAGACTTTGCATCATCAATTCCTTATAGAAAGTTAGAGTTTTTTCCGATAAAAAATAAAAACTATATACTTAATATTATAGGCAGAACGACATTACAGACGAAGACATGGGACACTAAAGTGGCCATTTCTGGCTTATTTGCCGTCATCAATTAGCGATACCCAACTTCAGTATTGCTGCTGAAATTGCAACCACACTCGAGTATCGAACTTGCGTCCCTCCAGTCAGGGGCGAACGCCTTAGTCATTGAGCTTTTGAGTTCGCATATGTGTCGGTATTACATCGGGGATATATTCATTTTCTGGTGGGGTCGATAGCTTAGGAGAGATCGCGCAACTGAGCAGTTGCAAGGTCAAACTGCACCGGAATTAGAACCACAAATAGACAATGAGAAGCATTTTGAGCCGGGTATTAAGAACTCTTGTTACCCCACTACAGCTAGGAATGGCTGCATTGGTTTATTGGATCTAGTGGACTTTAGGATAAAGTAGGTATATGGAAAATGAAAAAAATTGCGCGGGGTACAAGCGGTCCAAAACATATTATCCAAGGAGGGGAATTTTATTAATTCTCTGCTTGAATCCTAATTGGCAGAAACGCAGTCGGACAATTAACCAAGCCGAAGGCACTAGTCGCATGATTTGCGGGTGGTATGATTCATGTTTTATCTGCCCGGATTTCGTCTACAGACACATGGATCCTTCTTATCAACTTAGAGTCAATATTTCATCCATGGAGTCAGGTTTGCTCGCAAAGAGCGCACAAGTGAACACTGCTCACAGTGGTAGTGACGCCTAGTAATTTTTCTGTCAGAATGGTGTATTGAGTAACGTTTTGCCCCCTTCAGATCCTCCAAACAATTTTGAATTGGCACAAATTACAAATCTGAAGGTCTTTTTGGAAGTGGTGAAACGAAAAAATCTGAATATAACGTGACCCTTAATTATCTTGTAAAATTTTGCTACTAACACCACTAACAAGCAGTTCGGTACAAACATAAAGTCTAGCAAGGAGAAAAGCGAATGCATCAAATATCTCACCTTGAGGCAACAAGCCCATATCATGGAATTTTTGTCGAAATTGTGAACATTGCTTCCACTTAGATGGGATTTTCATATTGATTTTGACGCAGCACATTTTCAAGGTATTGCGATTGTGACTGAAACCGGCTTTCTGTTTTTGTCGGCAAACAACAAAGATGTTTATTTAAGTAGTATTTTCGCATGCATTTTCAATAGCTATATAAATTTAAATATATTTGTTTGGATAAGATGCAAGAATATTCTGGATGTTAATCATTTTTGGCCACCTATGCTTTCAATTGTTTAATTAAACTAGTTGATTTTATTTGTTAAAACTGTCGGTGATTACGAGATTGTACTTCTACTGTTAAGGTATAGGGCATGCTAACGATTCATTGCAAACTTTTGTGACACATGGAGCAAATATGCTTTATAGCGTAAATAACTTCATGGCACTCTTAATGCAAAAACTTTTCAGAATTTACTCTCTATACCTGACGTGCAAACGCCACCGCAGATGAATTTGACGCACATTAGGAAACCGGAAAACGTTTTTAACCAATTTGTTTTTCCTAATATAAAGAAGTTGCTATTTGCTATCAAATAAATGTACGAAATATATATTTTTTGGGCTTTTTTGAAAGAGTACATTTCGAAGTCTTAAGGGCATATAAAATAAATGCGACTTATACTAACTACATAAAAAGGAAAATTTGTGAATGGGTGTTTTCTACATACGGCCGCATACCTTACGATTATGCTAACTGATAATCACTATCGCAATGGAATATAAGAAAATGTTTTCCAGTGAACCCACAAATTATATTGCATGGCCATCAGAGACCCAAATGGGTTTGAAGTTACAATCTGTGCCAACTGGAGATGGTAATCAACTTTGCAACCTGTTGCCAGGGCAGCTTGGTCGTAAGAGGGCAGTTATTTGTCGGCTAAGCGCGTGTAAATTTTCCCTTTGCACGCCAACGCGAAAAAACCCACCCATTGGGAAGGCAGTTTGATGCCATCATTCCAAATTTTATATGTTTACGGTTTCATTCGAAAGGGAGCTCTGTCCAAGCAGAAAGTGGGACCACGACATCCCGAGAGCACTCATGACAATTTTTACTGATTGGAGAAGAATATAAATTATAAGGAGAAAGGGGTTTTCAAACTTAGCCCACATTTACTCTTTTAGCACGGACACCTCCAGCGGCCACATGCGGCAGATCGTTGTCAATTTCCAACTTTAAACCCCAGCGATTGCTCATAGGAGACGTCAAAGAAAGGTTGCTGCTCCTGTCTCGTGGTGGACATTGCTAAATAAATTGGACTTGCTTACCAGGTTGTTTATTCAAATTTGGAACAAAGTCAGCCAGCCAAAAAAAATGAAAATATACCTCCCTATTTAAAAGTAATAATAGTTGTATATATTTTATTCCCTTATCAAGATCACATTTTAGTCATACAATATAATCTCTAAATTTTTAAAAATTAAGCATTATTGTTAAGCACCCGCGGTTACTTTCTCAGCGCTCTTTCCACTGCACGGTCGGCCCTGCCTCAGAAGTGTACTACCACGATTTACTTTTCTCTGCGTACTTGTCCATAATCTGTTGTTCAATCTCTATTTAACGTTTGCCAATATAACTTACACTAGATTGTCCAACTGATAAAAAGTAAAGGTCGAAATTTAAAGGGATGGTTCAACACACATTTGAGTTTGTTTATTGTATTCAGTGAATTGACCCGAGGTGCAAAGTATTGTTTACTAGAAAAGATGTTATTTCAGATTGGTATATTGAAGTGAAATAGGCGCAAAATTTGGCAAAATTCACACTTTTCCCAAATCGATGGAATTTATTAGGCTACTTGACACTACATACAAAAACTTCGTGATTGCGAATATATTTAAAAGCAGAAGCGTGTTATGTATATCTTTTCAGGGGACAGAAAATTTTGTTTTGTGTTCACGAAATTGCAAGGATGATATAACGCACTGTTTTCAGGAAGTGACGGGCGGACTCAGTTTACAAATTCCCTTTTGCAAATCTGCTACGTTTTGTTCCATAAAATTAAGTAATACACTTACACGTCTGTAATTAGGTTTACCACTCCGATAATAAGGATGGTAAAGTAAGCAAACATAAGTATGAGCACCCTAGACATGCCATCACTTTCATCTGTCAAACCATATGCAAAATATGTCTAAACGCATTTAATCAATAGCTCGGTAGTAAGGAAAGGGGAAACTTGAAATTAAACGTGTAGAAGATTCTCAGGTTTGCTATTCTGCTGTCTATTTGCAATCTTAGAACGGAGCCTCAAAATAAAGATGTAAACTGAAAGCCGCATACACGGAAAAGTCCGTTCTTTCACTTTCAGCAGAAGATTTATTCTAAATACGCATGGAAGTAAAAAACGTCCATATTTCGCCATTTTTATCTTGAATTAATCTTCGAACATGGTACCATTCGCAGAAAGTTAGTGTAGAAATATCTACAAAAAGCTGTTGTTCATGACATAAGTTGTTATAGAAAGCTGTTTATCATTTTGTGTCAAATGTTGCAGATGCTCATTTTTCTAAAACGATTACTCAGACAAATGGGGCAAAGGAAAGAATGCCCCAAAATTCACAATTTATGTAAATTAATGTAATACATATCATATTGTGAAGGTCTTGGTAAGCACGCAGCATATTATCCTTATTTATTGCCAATCAAATGAAGTCAGTGAAAATTGTAAAATGTTAGTCATTATTTCAAGAGCTATCTGAACCTCGCCGTAGTCGAAATCCCGTAATAAATTCAAAACAATGTGACGGAAGGAAATTTCTCCTAGTATGCGCAGTGTAAATTTGCTGGTCACTGACGGGCATGTCCGCATGTAAGCCTACTAACTATATTACTCCTCTGACCGCTGAACCGGCGCACTCAAGCGAAAATCCGGTTGCATTAGTTCAAGGTAACCCAAGAAAGGTACAAACGGAAGAAACAACCGGAAATTCTCTTGAAACCGTGTTGGAATGCAAACTCGAATTTAAAACTGTAGTTCTCTTATTATGCCCGATTTCTCCTTTTTCGGAATTGTCCGCTTTTCTATAAAAGCTGGTGTTTCTAAACAACGTTATATTACTTGTTGCATCACAATATACCATATTTTGAAAAACGACTATTACATAATCTCTGCAATAATTTTGGGGACGCAACGAGAAATAATTTTACGTAACGCGGATTTCCTTGTAAAACGCTTAGGAGTTCATCAGATAGGCAATTAACTGTACAGGCATGACTTCGTGCCCATAGCTTACCTGTTCTAGCACAAAGATCTGATAGGCGGACTGTAGGTGCGCCGGTTTAATCCGAAATTGCACCGAAAAGTTGTGCAACCGCCGATAGATCGGGGACTTTGCCATGTGCTGGGTGTCCCACTTGAGCAGACCCCGCGGCAGGTGATGGCCAATCACTCCCGGGGGTTCCCCTGCTGCTGTTTCCGCCGTTATCAGTTTCAGCAGCGCCACCGTGATTGGTGGATCCTCCCAGGGTGGCATGACGTTGGTCTCCGGCCAGCCATTGACCCGCGAGGCATGCTTAAACAACCGTAGCATCTCCTTGCCCTCAGGGCAGATGGTAATGCCGGGTGTCTGATCGTAGACTGTGTGACGACCCGAGTAGTCCAGTTGGAAGACAGTCTGGTGTCGTAGGTACTGCAGAGTGACCAGGGTGATGCAAATACACAGACCCATGACCATGGCTGCCGTGATTGTCACCCAGATGATGCGCTGGGCACGAGTCCGTGCGCTGGCGACCTTTGACAGTGGTAC